ACAAGCTCAATAAACAGCATGAGCGCGTTGGCGGGGGGGGGGGGTGGACAAGTAAAGCCTGGTGGCCCGCCAGGCTTATTTACACTCAAGGAAACCCTGGAGCATCATCCAAAAACAGACACAGGAGTTCTGTTTTAAAAGCATGTAGGTCTTTAAAATGGTAGGGTGATGAAACTAAAGTGGAACCGTTTGAGCTTCATGGCCACGGTTACATTTTAGGGGGAAGTACAGGCGTGGCAGCGTCCTGTTGTGGGTCTGCTTTGCCGCAGGAGGAACTGGTGGAGTAGTTCTAATTGTGACATCCGTCCAGTAAAGTCTGCTGTGATTCAGACAAGTGTGTTAAAACACTGGTGAGACCAAAGATGGAGCTTACCCCGCGATCTCCGTTGTACTTTTCCACAAACTTGCCGTAGTTGTAGTGGTTGAACGTTGGGTAGCCCTCCACCCCCTCCTGCTTGCAGAGGTCATGGTTCAGTCCTTTTGTGCAGTCCACAGCAGCATAAACAATCTAAGCGAAAGCAACGCCAACGGTCAGAAAACTCAGATCACACAACTATATTTTAATATTTCAATAACACATGTTAGTGTGTGGTCTGGAATAACTTAAGAGACCACTTAAAATCATCAGTTTCTCTGATTTTCCTTTTTATAGGCATATGCTTGAGTAAAATGAACTTTGTTCTTTTATTCTATGAACTACTGACACCATGTATCTGAAATTACAAGCGGAAATTTTGTATATATTTGCAGAAAATGAGACATTGGCAAAATAACAAAAAGGACGCAGTCCTCTCAGACCTCAAATGATGCAAAGAAAACGAGTTCATATTCATTTAGAAACAACAAAACTAATGTTGGAACTCATAAATCAGTATTTGGTGGAATAACCAGGAGGTTTTCAGTGGGGTTCAGTGCAGTGGGATCTTAATTTTTCCAGAACTGTATATATAATAGAAAAAAGTACAATTTATAGTTGAAAATAGTTGAGTCAACCATCTTAGTCAACATTCTGTCAATGTAAAGTGGTACAAAAAAGTTTCATTTAGCAAGCAACTATGTTTTACTTTTTGACAATGACTTGTGCATGTTTCATTTCGGTGCTGATTTAAAGTTTGTTTTTATGAAGAAGAAACACAATTTTCATATTAATACTTTAAAAGTGTGTGTGTGTGTGTACTTGTATGTAATCTATAGAGGTCCATTATAACCATTTTCATCAACAAGTGGAGGTCTTTTGTGGAACGTGATGACATTTTCCTGATCTTCACGTTTTTCCAAGTAGAATGTAATCAAATAAGAAGGATTATTTGTTTATTAACACTGTGGCATGCCTTTAACTTGTCTCCAGTTGCCGTGGTTACGTACTGTTATCTTGCTGTCTTATTACTAGTTAGTATTCTGATAGCAACCAGTAATTCAAGAACAACCAGTACTGATTGTAATTCAAGGGTTCGGGGTAAAGTTTAGTTCCAAGGTGTGAATTGAGGTTTGGTTGGGGTTTGGCTGTAGAAATGAATGGAAGTCAATGGAAAGTCTCCTCAAAGACAGCGAGACAAACGTGTGTGTCTGTGTGTGCGTGTGTGTGTAATACAATGTGGAAACCATTTTCCTGACACATACTACATTG